GAGCGATTGAACAGCGCTTTGCGCTGTCGCCGGCACTGTGCCTCGCCACCACAACCGTCCGAGCCAGAACCTTTGCGCACGCCCATCCTCCTCGAAGCTCGCTTGGGCCGGTGCTAAGGCAGACGCCGATGCAATGATACTCGCGCGCAGCTATGGTCGTTGAGAGCGGCGGATCGAGACTTTGGTCCGCGTGAAAGAGCGAGTTGCATCGCCACGTCTCAAAGCGCGCGCCACTCGATGTCCCACTTTGTAACTTTGCTCGACTGCATTGGCTCGGCCCAAGCTAGACCTGCGCGTCGCCACCCCATGCTGCGCCGAGGCGGCTGCTTGATTCGCGCACCTGTGCGCGCTTCATGACTGTCGGTGACCCGCACTGGCTCGAGCACTGTCCGTGAGCCGTCGTGTAGCTCGCTTGATTTGCCGTCGACTTGCAATGGCCGGCGACCCCAGAGCTGCACCCCTTGCCTGACGAGTCCGCTTTGGACAAGCCAAACGAGATTGTGTTCGCTCTTCGCTTTGTCTGCCATCCTCACTGCACAAGCCCCTTGCACTCGCACACCCAATCAACGCCGACTTTTGGATTGCTCTACACCTTCTTTCTCGTGCCTTCTTGCTCGTGAGGGGGGGATTCGTCTACTTTGTCTCCGGCAGGGGGTCGGGCACAGGCGCAAGGGCAGACACGTCCTCGACCTGCTTCTTGTTCCTCCTCCTGAGCTCCTCCCTATCCGAGTCGGCATCGGTGGTAAAGCCACTAGCCATCCTCGCCGCGCCCTCCTCCTTCTTGGCCCTCCTGCGGCCGCTCCTCTTATCGAGCGCCTTGCCGAGACCGTTCTGGAACGCGAGGATGGCGACGGCCGTGACGATGTGGCCGTAAAAGTAGACGGCCTTCCAGCCGGCGATGCTGGCGCGCAGCTCGAGCAGCATAAACGGTGCCACGGCATAGTTGAGCGTCGCCTGGGAGACTGCCACGCTGAGGGTGCAGTAGGCCAGCTGACCGGCACTGAACGTATGCACATTGCTGAACGTCGGGTTGGCCACGTTGGGCTGTGCGAAGAACACCGGACGCACATGACGACGCAGCATCTTGGCTGCCGACTGCATGAAGCCGGCGAGGATGAACGAGAGGTAGTAGCCTGGCTCCAGGCCGTGCCAGAATGCCGAGGTAAAGAACGTGGTCATGGTCGATTTGAAGCCGGGCTTCTTGCCCGGCCGCGCGATGCGCTTGTACACGTTGTTGCGCAGCCACACATTGGTGTTCATATTCCAATGGTCCAGCAGCTCCTTCCAGTTGTTGGCGAGTTCGATCTTGGGGATGTCCACATTGCTGCACCTGTTCCAGCGCGTCTTGCCATTCTGCACGCCGTTGTAGCCGAGGCCAGACAGGATGCATGCGCCGTCGGTGAGCGACCAGATGCCGTAGTACTTTGTACGTGCCATGAAGCCGGCCACTTGGATCCAACCGAGCTTCTGCCACCACTTTAAATGGCCCAGTCCGCCGTGCAGACCGATGAGCTTTTCGTACGAATAGGCGGGAGCGAAGATCGAATAGATGCCCATGAAGCCGAGGCCGACCAGCAGCGTGCGCACCGCAGCAGCCACGCGGCCACGCGGCATGGAAATGTTCCCCTTGGTACCGAAGAGTTCGCCGGTGCTCCATGCGCGGTAGTCCGAAAACCTGGTGGACGGACCCACAAGGACGCCGGGAAAGTAGAAGGCATAGCCCAAAAACTCGAGCAGGCCCGGCATCTTTGTGATCCTCGTCTTCTTCTGCGCATCATCGCATTCCGCCTCGCTCCGCACCTGGCCATCGAAGCAGTCCCACGCGAACGTGGTCAGATTCATCACCGCCACCATCTGCATGGCCGTGATTTCAATCGTCGACAGCGGGATCCCCCCAAACTTGCGCACCGCATGGTTGTACGTCAGATGCGCCATCTGCATGCCGAACACCAACCACCCCATATTGCGTCCACCCACCCTGAACCAGCAAATGGCATAGGTGATCAGCGCCGAGCCGAGCAGCTGCAGGAAGCCCGAGTAGAGGTGGAGGATGGCCACGAGAAAGGTGAACGAGACCGCCATGCTGTACACGTGCTTGAGCGCGGGGGAGGGCAGATGGACAAAGGCGGACGCCAGCGGGAAGGCGGAGAGAAGACAGCAGAACAGCTTGATGTAGTCGACGGGCGCACCCGCCACGCCCGCCAGTCGTTCAAAGTAGGGATCCAGCATCCTAGACTCGCAAAGATGGTGGTGGCAGTCGTCGTACAAGAAACGCGCCCCCCAAAAACGCGGGGTCGCTCCCTTTTCCCCCAACCAGCGTGAAAAAAAAAAGAAATGCCCTCCGTCGATCAAACGAAAGAAGAGTGTGGAGGCGGGTGGCCCTTGCACGACTGCTGTGCGTCATCGTCGGACCTACCTCGCTTGCCCGCATTCACCCCGCTCACCCCGCTCACCCCGCCCACACTGCACACCCTGCGCTCGAAAGTAACATCTCATTGCAGCAGGGTCTAAATGACAAACAGCAGGTCCATGTCGATGGGATGCGACGACGACAGCTGCGGTTTCTGCGAGTACTTGGACGCGAGCACGTCGCGCACCGCATTGAGCATCTGCTTGTACGTCAGCTGCGGATACTGGTTCATGACGGTCAAAAACGCAAACGAGCACGCGCCCGTTGCCTTTCCCGCCTCGGTGGCATCTGCGCTCGTCTGCGAGTCCTTGCATCCACTCAGCATCACCACGTCGGCACCGCTCGAGCGCGTCTGCTTGGTCATCTCGTCGGCGCCATTGGTATTCTTGGCGGTCGTAAACGTCGAAAGGAGCCCCTTGGCCATGCCCATCACGTCGCCACGCGCATAGTTCATCGCCGCACCCATCAGACCCTTGCCGACGCCCGCCATGACGTTGGTCTCCTTGATGTTGCCCGAGGTGGTGTAGACGTACGGCAGATCCAACGCCGTACCCGAGTGGCACGAGTCAAAGATGGCGGTCAACCTACAGCCGACCGGGAGCGGACGCACCATGATAGCGTGCAGCTCGTCGTCTTCCATCTGACCCGTCTGCTGGTAGTCGACGGGGATGATGGTCTCGTTGTACCCATCCGCCTCGTCGCCCTGCGTCGCCTTGGCCTGACCGCCGTGCCCGCTGTAGTGGAAGAAGAGCGCGTCTCCGGGCTGCGCACCGCGTACGAGCCAGTGCATGGCAGCGGTCATGTTCTGTCGAGTGGGGATGCTGCGCGCATCGCGCTGGTCGTCGGTGAGCACCACCATGTCGTCGTCCTTGTAGCCGCGCTGGCGCAGGAACTGCTTGACGTTGTTGACATCGTTGATGCAGCCGCGCAGCTCGCCGTTCTGGCCAAAGTAGTTGATGCCGATGAGCAGCGCCTTGCGCTTGCCCTGCATCGACGAGTACTCGTAGCGCACGTTGCCCATCATGCCGCCCTGCGGACGGTAGTTGACGTGGTTCGTCGCGTACTCCGAGGGGCCGACGGGGCCGGAGGGAGGAGCGTAGCCGTAGCCCATCTGGCCCTGGACGCCGCCCTGAGGAGGCTGCATGGGCGGCGCATAGCCTCCGCCCGACGGGTAGCCCATGGGAGGCGGGCCCTGTGGTGCGCCGTAGCCGTATCCTCCGCCAGGTGGTCCGTATCCTCCTCCGGGAGGACCGTAGCCTCCACCGCCGCCGCCGTGGCTCTGCTGATAGTGGTGTCCGCCCTGACCTGGATACGCCATATTTTCTTGCTAGTCGAAAATGCGGGTGGTGTCGTAAGTGTGGTGGTGAGGATGATGGAGGTGGGTGGGATCGACATGGCGGGCTTAGTGGCCAAATTGAGTGCGGACCGTGCATTTGTAGGAATCGAAATGCCCGGCTGTGCTCAGCGCCTGGCTTTTGAAAGCAATTTCTCGTGCGACAATGTCTCGGCACGTGACCCTTGCCGCTTCTTTGTCAATTTGCACAATTCCACCATCTCGACTCCAGTCCACCACCACGATTCTTGGCTTCGACAAAGGCATCGCGATGAAGGTGGCACCGTCGTCGAGCGGGGTGTCTGCGCTCAAGGCGCTGCAGTGCAAGGTATTCGGAACCACGTACAACCCCACACAGGCACGCACAGGAGCCAAGGTGCTGCGTCAACGACTCCAAGGTCCCTCGATGCTGGCCTACTATCCACCCACGGTCAACCTGCGCGCGATCGAAAAGCTGGCTCCTGGTCTGGGCAGGCTCAAGGACGTGCGCGAGATCCAGCGCGAGAAGGACGTAGAGCGCAAAAAGATGCTCGGCAAGGGTCCTCCCAAGAAGGGTAAGTCCGCACCACGCAGCCATCGCATCAACGGCAATCGTACTGACTTGGCAATCTCTTCTTGTGTTCGGGGGGTGGACAGGCGAGGGACGACGTGCGGCAATGAAAGGCAAGCGCAAGTAGCCACGTTCGCATTCCTAACCACCGAAACTGTACTTTTACGCATCCCACACCCACCAAAATCGATGCACCATTCACCGCAGTTGCCTCAGCACCAACCATCCAGCCAGCCAGCGTCCAGGTGCCAACTTGATCGGCACGATTCGAGTCTCCTGCATCGGGCTTGGTTGGGATGAGGGTTGAGGGTGTTCTATTTCCAGCCCGTCTTGCTTCGAGTGGCGCAGGGTTGTAACCTCCGCAGTGGCGTGCATCTCGAGATCGCCACCAAAGGTGTGCCACAGTCGGAGAGATCGTCGGTAGTGTGGGGTTGGTGTCAGTGTACGCAAGGATGTGGAATGTTCTCAGGGACGGCGGAGAAAATAATGCGCCCGCCATGCCGGTCTCGAGAATTTGTCTCAGGAAAGCCGAGTCACGTCACTCGCAAAGGATAGCGTGGGGCCAAGCCGGCATGGCGGCATGTCTTTGCGCCGCGGCATCCAAACAAGCAAAGCGTGTCTGGGTTCAGGGTCAGACGTCCCGTTGTGTTGGATCGGCTGCCATGGCGTGGTTCAAAAGACTCGTTGGCAGTCGTCGGTACTGGTGTGGGGTTGGATGGCGGTGGAGAAGGCTCGATCGGGGCTCGATCGCGCTCCGATCTGCATCCCATCCGAGTCCGATCCGAACCGTTGGACCGAGAGAGATCAAGTTCTACCGACGCGCTTCTTTTGCATGTGCGGGATGACGACAAAAGCTTTGCAATTTCGATTTGGCAGCGTGGCGGAAAATTCTTCTCGCTCCCGACTCGTCGAAACAGCAGCCTCGGAATGGCAATGATTGGTCGGCCACACTCATCAGCTGCAATCCGATGCAAGCGTCGAGTGCAGAGGTTGCATTCCATTCTAGCCGCCTGTCCATGTGCCATTGCATCTCGTAGCGCGCAGAGCTATGATTGGTGTGCGCTCGGCCGACGTCGAACCCGCCCGACTCTCCCAAAGCGTGTGTCCGATCACTTTGGTCGCAACGCCGCAACGCAGCAAGGCAAGAGTGTGGGAAGGATGGGTGGTGCGGCCACTCGCTTACGGCGATGGCTGGCCGCTTTACCGGTACAACAATGTGCTTTGCCGAGTATTTTGGCTTTGCGGGCATGGCGCCAGGCGGTGTCCAAGCAGGTGCAATAGCGGCGACTAGGATTCGCCTCCCGTCGCGCCCGACGTTCCGCAGACCCACTCTAAATTTGGCCACGCCGGCATTTGCACTGCGCGTCGCGGCGAGTCGCCACGCCCTTCATTGCCTTTTTTTTCCTGCATTCATGCGCCACGAAGCCCGTCCAGTCTGCCCATCCTTGCTGGCGACAGAGCGAGCTGCGGTCTTCAGACGGATGCAAAGCGTCGACAGGGAGGCGGTGCAAGAGTCGCGCGACCGTTCACATCCGGGTCGAAACCCGGGGCGAAAGGGATTTTGGGCCGGGCACGAGGCGGAGGCCAGACGGAGCTGCCCGAGTTGGCTTAGTGAGCCATCTCGGGAGCGACCGATAGACCCTAGCACGACCCTTTCGGCGACCCTGGGGTTCCGTCGAGGTGGCGACGCCGGCCAAGCTTGCCATGGACGGGGCGAGCGGTGCGGATTGGGGCTCGCCGAACGGCATGGCGGTGGGCAAGCGAGTCACGCTCCACCGCAATCTCGCAAGGGCGAGAATGGGAGCGCTGATGCAATCGCTCGTGCGGCCAAAAGCTCGAAAGTGCGGTGCAGTGCGAGATTTGAAAAAATAAAAAATCGGAACGAAAAGACTGACGACCCGCCAAGGCTCAACTCGGATCCCCCATGCGAGCGGGCCCCGAGGGCGCGGGCGTCGGTTGGATGCATGTCGTCATTGCGCGCGCACGCATGCCATGGCTGCCAGATGCTGAGATCCGGCTTTTTGGCTCATGCAGAGGGGCACACTGCAGCCGCCCCCCCCGCCTCCCTACCCTCTGCACATCCCCAGCTAACTTGCTAAGAGAGGGGCATCCAAGGCCAAAGCGCCAATGCACGCTGCGTACTCGCTGTCTCTCTCCCCATCAATGCTCATGCTGGCATTGTGATTCGGATTGTCAGCCGACTGTTGGGAGTGAGCGCATGTCGGTCAACGTATGTAGGCCCAGTCGCGCGGGGAGACTCGTTGCGTAACTCCGACAGCTCAACAGAGGGCCTTCTATCGCTGACCTCAGCCGCTGCGCGTTGGACCGCTTGTGGAAAAGAAAAGGCTGCAACTTTCACTCACCGTGGCCGGCTCCCTCCGTTGTAGGATTTTTGAATTTGACGACGAGCGCGACGCCCTCGCCTCTCAAACGGACGCAACCCGAGTCGGAGGCTCGTCTCATGCGCTCTTTCCTGGGGCTTGGATTGGATTTTGGCTCAAGCTTGGCTCGCTGCGCAACTCACAAATCACACTCCCACGATGGCGTTGTCCAGTCATCCGTTCGGCACACCCGTCGGAGCAGTCGCGACGAGCGAGTGAGAGAGCGAGAGGGGGAGAAAAGAGAGAGAGAGAGAGCGGGCGGACGGCGGACGGCGTGACCAGAGAGAAAGGGCCAGGGCTGCACCGAAAAACCAACAAACTCGACGCGGCTTTCGCCACGGCCTCGCGCACTTGGCCGCCACTGCGTCAGTGTCGCTCGCCTCGCCTCCGTTTGCTGCCAAACTGCCATCTCTGCTTGGTCCTGTCGGCAGGGCCGGTGATGCGCTCCTGCCCCTCCACCCGTCTGTCTGCCCGTCTGCCAGCCGCTGCCCAGCCAATCCACGCCACTCCTCCTGGCCAGTCCAGTCCAGCGCCCTCCCATCGTCATTGGCCTCGTCGACCTCGCCTCCCACCATCCCTCCATCCGCTCATCGCCACCTGGTTCGGTCCACACGACACCCAGCATCAACAGCATACATCGCCTCCATACAGCAACTCACCAACTCATCCGCCCATTTCTTCATCGTATCCACTCTGCATCGTCTTGTCAATCACCATCCCGCCCTCCATCTTTACATCGCTCGTCGAGCTCAACCCATACAGCTAGTCCCAGGCTCCAGCGCTCCCTGAACGTGCATCGTCTCTCCGCATCCACTTCATCTGCCTCTTCCACCACCCGGCGTCACCCTGCCATTCAGTGCGCGTCGATCCTTCATCATCGACCTCCGTCTTCAACCCACAAGCCACATCCGACTCCGGAGTTCCGTCTCTCTCTGCATCTCCATACCTACACGACCCGCCTCGCTGCTATTGTCTCGCCCGCACTCCCTTGGCGTGGTGACCAAATCTCGCATTTCCGCTCGGCTGGTTGCCTAGCTACCATACTCACGCCAGCGACCATCAACATCCCTCAATTGCTCCCACCCCCTCTGCATCCTCCTTTCGAAATGTCGCATGCCTCCCTCGCCTGACCTTCTCAGTGCAACCTCGCGTCACTCCACCGCCACCACTTGTTCCTCTAGTCTGAGCTCAGCTGCGTTCCTCGGCGTCTTGGCAACCACCCACTTTGACCCGTACAGCATGCCCAAGAGCACATCCAGCAGCCAGGACTCGCACCCTTCCATCCCTGACTCGCTTCCTTCCCTCGACGGCCACGACTCGCTCGCTTCCTCAGCCTCCTCCCACTCCTTGCACTGGCACAACCCTCCAGATTCTCGCTCCACCGCGCTTGCTGCGGAGCCGTCGCACTCGAAGATCATGGACTCCTCCGTCTCCATATCCAACACACCAGGCCCGCAGCGTTCCACAACCATCAAGGCGCCCAACAAGCCTGCATACTCGGCCTCGACTCGCACAGCAGCCTTCGCCTCCACCATGGCCCCGCTTCACACCATGCTCGACCCCAACACCTCGGCCGCTTCCGATCGCGTCATCGCTTCCTCGGCCTCGCCGCCCGTCCTCCACTCGCTCGTCTTTGCCGATCGCAAGCCCGAGTCATCCTCCTCCGCCAAGTCGCTGGCGCCGTCGGGCGTCGCTCGCGATACGTACCTCGCGCTTGACGAGGCGGCGCCACGCCTCTCCATGTCTTCCACCGGCAGCGGCTCCACGTGCGAGCTCGCCACTCCGGAAAACCTCCACCAGTCTTGGCCATACGACGACGTGGAAGGATCCGCACTCGCAGCGTTGCGTGCATCCGCATCAACGGACCCATCGCAGACCGCAAAGGCTGTGACCGAGCAGCTTCGAGCCATCGATCTGCATGCCACCAGCCCTACCGACGAGACGCCGCCAGCCACCGGTCAATCCAACGTGTCAGGTCTGGCTCCCCAGCGCCCTGCAAGGCTCCAACGTCTCTCATCGGTCGCCACCAACGCAACCGCCACCAACTCGACGCATTCCGACGAGTCGCCGCAGACTGCCACCCAGTCTCCACGCAACCCTGACGCGCACGACCTCGCCTCCTTCCACGTGCCCTCAGCAGCCGACACCTCGGCATACGGCCTCGACAGGACGAGCCGCGCTGCGTCGTCGTCGTCATTGTCGTCGCCCAGCTTGGACATCGACATCCCCAGCCGTGCCAGCATGACGAGCCCCGACTCGTGGCGCTCGCTCCTGCCCGAGCACGACCCCTACTTTGCCTCGGAGGGCCAGCTGCGTGCCTCGCATCCCCAACGATCTGCATCGCCACAGAGTCTGCGCCCCTTCTCGGCCACCGCAGACCCAGATCCGTACGTGATGGCCAAGACGTCGCCGCGCGCTCCCGTGTACGATCGCATGTCCAATTCATCGCTCGACACCACGCGCACCTCGTTCAGCAGCGCCATCAGCGGCTACTCGACCATGTCGATGGCCGGCGCGAGCAAGCCCTCGCTACAGTCGCAAGACTCGGCTCGATCCGACAGCTGGCGCAGCCTGCTCCCGGACGACGATCGCTACCACACCTCGCGCGACGCAGCCGGAGCCCATCGCGGCGGCTTGGACGCATCGCCCAACCTCGCATCGCCTTCGCTCTCGGATCATCTCGATTCGCCAGTGTCGTTCGACGGGCACAACCATCGATCCGCATTCTTTGCCCTCGACACGCGTCCCGGCAGCGCATCCGTGCCAGGCGACGTCGATTCCGCCACGCGCCGTCACGCCAGTTTCTCCCAAGTGGAGCCCAACAACTCGCAGCAGTATGCCGCCACTCGTGTCATGCTGGCGGCCATGCAGAATACCGCGTCGCGACCTCGCACACAAGCATCGAGCTCGTCCGAGAAGCTTCCCGCTGTGCGTGCCAGCAGCCTGCTCCCGCCACGAGGCGGCGATACGATGGAAGCGCCTAGCATGACGCCAGCGCTGTCTAGCTCCAACACCGACGATACGAGCGAGCGCGACAGCTGGCCCACCAGCCGCAGCAGCGGCGGCCGCGATGGCTTGGCAAGGGCCTCGCCCGTCTCTTCGGGCCCCCTCACCCCCGAGGCGGGCGATGCTCTTCAGCAGCCGTCTTCGCTCGCGGCCGTGCTCAGCCAGGAGGCGGGGGGCGTGGCGCACGTCGACAGCCCTGCGCACGTCACCGAAACCTCCGAGAGCTTTGTGCGTGCCACGCAGGATGGACTGCTGGCAACTACCACGACCACTACCACCAAGACCACCATGACCACCACCACACAGTTCTTGGCCGACTCGCAGCCAGCCGGCAAGGCACGCTCCGAGGCGGGCGGCCCCGACTACGCCGCACCCGGCTACACCGAGCACTTGGCCGACGCCGGCGACGACGACAACGTCGACGGTTCCCCGCACCTGCAGAGCCAGCCGATGAAGGCGCGCACATCGTCGTGCAGCGTCTCGACGCCCATCAGCCCGCCGTCGCTGCCATTCCTGGAGCGCCGGCCTGCACCGCCCGAGACGGATCTGGTGATCGAGACGGAGCGCAGCCGATACACGCTCGTCACGCGATTGCCCGGCTTCTCGCTTGACTGCATCACGCTCGCCACCAAGCAGCACAAGCACCATCGCACGCTGCATATCGTCGCGGACAAGTGGGACACCGAGGGCGGCGGCCACTTTGAGCGCCGCATCACCTTCCCCGACCGCGAGTGCGACCTCAAGAACGTCAAGGCCGAATTCGACGGCACGACGCTCCGCGTGTATGTGCCGCGCAAGTCGGCTGTGAACCGATTCAGTTCGGCGAGCAGCGCCACGTTCTAGTCGCTCGCTCCCCTTTTGCATTTTCAGCTTCCTTATCCTAATCGTCAAGTGTCGATGACCCTCAGACCGGGGCATCTCACACCAGCACACAGATCCCCCCACACGCATCGCTTTCTCGACCTCCCTCCATCTGTACTTGTCCTGCATATGCACGCGCACCCCATCCATCCAATCCAGTTCTTGCGATCCACTGTCAATCCGATGTCGAGAAAGAGTTGAAGGGTCAAACCGCGGCTGGGCGGTGCTCTGGATCAGAGCGCATCGTGCAGCCATCCGATCCGAGTGCTGCGATCCTATATCGATGCAGTGTCTTGGGTGACAGGGTGAGCCACAGGTCGACGGAAAGCAGTGAAGTGAGTGTTGCAAAGCGGAGAGAGAAAGAGGAGACCAGGTCCGAAGGCAGGATATGAGGGAAAGCACGCTGGCACGTCGTACGGTTGGAACGTTCTCTCCGAGGTAGTGGATGTTTTATCGCGATGCCCTTGGGGGTTCTTGGGCACCTGTTCGGAATGCATCTTGATGACGGCGACAGGGAGGACGTGGTTCTTGGCCTGTGGGCGGATGGCGACGGATTGGCTGCTCGTCCTTGGACGGGTTCGGCAGCTTGCCACGTGCGCTCCACCAAGCCAGGCGACATGATGTTGGCGCCGGAGAGCACGAACTTGATGGC